CGAATCAATGAAGCTAATCAGCTCATGCAGTATGATCAGTGCTTAACGAAAGGGCCGGATGGATCCAAAGTTATGATCACACACTGTAATCAGAATGAATACAAGGACTGGCAATACTTCAAGGTATGCAACATACATAATGCTGCAGAAACAAAATTACACTTTCCACCTTATTTTTTTGCACCTCTTTTTGTTACTTTATGTAGATCTGAAAATGAAGTTCTACAACAAGGTTAATTGAACCGAGTAAATTGTTAATTGCACGTTCTTGGAGATCCACGCTTGGCAGGAAAACTTCCCCTGGAAAGACTGTTTTGCTAGCGGTTCTACTTGCTGCCTTCTGTAGCAAAATCTTTTAAGGACAGTCTCAAGAGGCTACATGTGCAGCCACAGGTATGTTAGGAGTTAGCACTTATCTCGGAACAACCAAGGAGGTTGTCTGCTACCGGTTACAGAGTTTCTAAGAGCTTTTTGTGCCATCACCCGCTCTGCTTGCGTGCTTTCTATCAAGAAAGTGTCTTTGTCTGATGAACACTACTTACATGCTGAGCTGCATTTAGCAGCTGGGGTTAATGTTTTATCTAATTTTGCAAGGTCAACATTGAAGTGTCACTGTTTAAAGACAAAAGATCTTTTTAAGCCTACATAGGAGCATAGGTAACCATAGCATTGCTCTCTTCCTTTTTTGTGTTGTCTTTGCCTTCTTCAGCGTTTCTTTCTCCTGTTCACGAACCATGCTCTCATAACATGCTCTGTTGTGAATTCTGGGTGTGGTGCTGCTATGATGCTATTGCGAAATCTATGGACTCTTAATAAAGACTTGGAATGTTGGCTGGTACACATGCAAGGGCTGCCACAGTCTATTTAGTCACTGCGTCTGTAACTACGCTATTCATTCTAGGTTTGAAAGTGTTATTTTAAAAAAATGTCTAACATTATATTTCTGTTTGTCTCTTAAAAAATGAGACTGAATAGTCTAAGGGTGATGTTATGCTTGGATATAGCTCCACTCTAACTTGGTTCTGTGTCAATTTTTTTCTTCTGTGTTGATTTTTCTTCAGCCTGTCTAGCATATTTGCATTTTTCCTGATATTTGCATATATAGCAAGCACCATAATGCCATTTCCACCCAGCTTTCATGCACTCTGTAGACAGACAGAGAATTCTTTAAACCTGAAAGTTAAAAATGAATAGGCAGTGTTGGGGTGTCTGCCAGCTTCTCTTCAGTGTCGGAATAACACACAGCACTTGCTAACTCTCCAGCCATTCTAGTGTGTCCCAGCATGTTACTTGGCTCTTTGCAAAGCATTTCTTTTATGCAAGAAAGATCCACTTCCTCCATGGTGGTACCGAGTTGTGCAATTGTTTGCTCATTACTGCAAGTTCTAAGGAAGCCCAGTAGGCGCATGGTCTGGGCAGTAGAACAAAACACTGGCTTCCAGAAGGGAAGGGAAATAAAAAAAGGGGGTGAGAACAAGAGGACCACCGAGGGTGTGTAACTGAACAGATACTAGAAATTTGGCATGCTGCTGTGTAGGATGGAGGGTATGAACATTTCTTCTGATGAGAAGGGTGAAAGGAATTAAATGCTTATAAACCGCTGAAAAACGTTGCGGCCTCGTGTAAATGAAAGCTGCCAGATATTTATCTGGTTGGTTGGTCGTTTCTGAGCTGAAGGTTCGCATGCCATTTTGGTGAACATAATGTCTGTGCTGCTCAAGTGCTGAGCAGCAGCTGGGCTCCGGTGCCTGTGAGCAAACAGCCAGAACAGGGCTGGCGGTGGGCTGCCTATGGCTTTTGTTCAGGCATCTGTGTACCTCTCCAAGTGGAGGACCCCCATGTCTGGCCACAGGGCAGGAGCAGGTATAGAGCTGAACCAACATTTGCACGTGCGTGTGAGCGATGGAGAAGGGTCCGTAGGCCCGGGGGAGCTGGGCACATGGGGCTGGGCTGCAGTGCCACAGGTTTGCTTCTGCTCCGGTGGTCTCCAGGCTGTATGCAGCCGGTCAGCAAGCCAGGGCTGCCTCTGGTGACAAGCAGGAGGGAGGCCACAGGCGCTTTGTAAATGCGTGAGGCTTGGGCACGGCAGCACAGGGAGTGAGGAGGGAGCCACACGAGCCACTCTCAGCCCGGTTGTGCAGGGCGCAATAGGTCTGCAGTCACCTAGGCAGCCACCTCTTGCTCTGGAGGCCAGACTTGCTCTGACACCCTCTCGTCTTCCTTCTGCCGGTCAAACAGGGAGCAAAGTTCCTGCTGTTTCTTCCCCCTGCAGTGTGGTTCGCATTGGTGTTGGGTGGTTGCCCTGTGAGGGCTAACCCAAGGAAGATCTGCCCAGCACGGTCAGTTCTCATCTGCCCAGTGAGTTAGCTGTCCCAGAGAGTTGATCTTCTGCTTTGGTTCCAGGATGGAGGAAAAGGCTGGAGGCATTTTAGACACAGTTTTGCTCGTTTTCTTAGCAGTTTGTTGCCTGGGAGAAATGGGAGGCAACTCAGGTGGACCTACAGGTATCAAACATTCCATGATATGGAGGCTGTGAAAGTCTGCGTTTAACAGATAATGAGTGTAGAAGTGATCTGTTCTGGGACCCTGAAACACGGTTTTGTATGTAGTTATATTACATTTGTGAAGAAAATGTTAAAAAAAACCAAACCACCACCCAACACACGGTCCTGATGGTTTTGTTTTCCAGAATCTGCACAGATTTACTCACATTCCGTCAGGGAAGTGCTTGGATCGCTCCGAAGTCCTCCATCAAGTTTTCATTTCAGAGTGTGACTCCAGTAAAGCCACGCAAAAATGGGAAATGAACAACATCCTTAGCGTGTAGACAGACAGAACCCTACCTGCTGACACGTTTGTACAGGACTGAACATAGCCTGAAAAGTGCTGCAATTATTAACGTTGTACAGCTGCGAGCCTCCTGGCTTGGGTGAAGGACGTAGAGGAGCTGTGATTATTACAATAACATTATCATCCGCCGTTAATGTTTACAGAACTGCTTTACCTTAATCTCTGTAGATGTTTACATCTTTTTTTGTTTTCAGACGTCGGTAAATTAATGTGCTGTTAACTGTGTTTCACAGGAACATGGTTAAAAGTGTTGTCGTCTTCTTTGGGATTACACTCAGGGGTCTGAAGGCAGTTTTTTTACACACACTTGAAAAGGTTGGAGTAACCAGATTTTCATAGAACTTGGTGATTATCAACCTGTTGTATATTTTTATTTAATTTTACATCTTACTAAGCACTGCCACAGGTTATTAGCCAGGGTGGCCTTCTCTCACAGTCATGCTGCTTTTTTGGAAGGTGAATTTCAACATATTTAGTGCCTCTTTCATTTCTCTCTTTCCCAAAAAAAAAAAAAAAAAAAAAAAAAAGGAAGCATTTGTTGGAAATTATACAGTGGATTTTTCTGAGCTGTCACCAGGGGTAGGGACCGACCGTACCACCCCGTGTGAGCGTTGTGTGACTGAAGACCATTTTCTGTTGCCGGCTGGGCTGCTCTGCTTCAGCTGGACTCTGCGTGCGGTACGAGGAAGAGCCTAGTGTCACGGTTAGCACTGAGGTGGTACGCCCCCATGGAAGTAAGCACCCTCGCGATTCCACTTCGGAATTTAGAAGCACTAACTTGCTTGTTTAAGCCATGCCTTACATAAAAATAATTTCTAAAAACAAAAGAAAAAGAGAAATTAAATAAAGCTGGGCCGTTCTGTAAAACTTAGCAAGAATCCAATGCTTCATTTGTATTGTTATTTTAAGTGGAAGTCACTTAGAGGTGGACTAAAACTTTGAATTAGGAAGGAGGAGCCAGCTCCGTAACACATCTGCGTAGTTCTGTGCGAGGGCGCCTGCCAGCCGGTTCAGATGCCAGCTTTAGATTCGGAAAGAGAAATGGAAATCCTGAAACCGCATTTATTCATGCTAATTTTCTTCTTTTTTTTTTTTTCTTCTTCTGTCATTGGAGACTTCCCCTGAGGGATTACAGACACAAAATACAACCACTCGGTGCTATAGCGTACAGGGTAGAACGTGTGAAGATGTTGTTTCTAAAAACGTTACGGAAAGGAGTTTGTGCGAACTCCCCTGGGAGTATAAATATTTACTCTGAATGAGGAGGGAGGTGCAGGAAAAACGACTCATCCTCACTTCCTTATTCCAGATTTTGTGACTGTTACATGTTGACATCAGTGTGCTGATTTCCTAAGAGCTACACCTGTAACGTGTCACACACGGCTGAATACTTCCCTGAAATCTAGGATAGCATTGCATGCAGCTTCCCTTGATGTTCACAAGGGTTATGTATCGTATTTGGTGGCAGAATTTGATCTTTATAGGGCTGTCTGCACTGATCTGCTTAGTTTGGGATCTTTCCTGGTTTCTTTAACTTCCTGTCTATCCTTTCAGAGCTATGAAAAATAGAAAATAAAGGAGGGAGAAACTGGAAAAAAAGAAAAAAAAAAAAAAGGAAAATAAGGGTATGTGCCAATGCTTGTTCCTTGTGTGTATGAAAACTGACTCCATTTGTGTGTGTTGGGTAGATTAATTTAATCGTACGACTATGCAGAAGAGGAAGAAGGGTGGCACGTCGGTGCAGGCGTGCGCCCTGTGCAGTGCGCTGGGAGCTGCTGCTGTGCGTGAGTACGAATCTGTACGGGAGGCTGCAGCCTTACAGACCGTGAGGGCGCGGGAAGCTGTTGCTGTAACGGCTCTTTCCTACTCTAGGAGGCTTGGAAAAAAAACAATTCCCATATTCTTGCTTTGTAAGTTGATGATAATATCACTATGCATTTCTACATATTTTATAAATTTGATTTATGCAGATTTTGATACACTGTATGTTTCTGTAGAAATTGTATAAATCTTTTAAAAATTTATTAGGGATAAATCTGGGAAACCTATGTATATCTTACTTATGGGTTGCTTGTTTTTTAGGTGAAATAAATAAAATATTTGAATTTCTGGGTTTACTATACCTTTACGGAGTAAAAATGGATTATTATCTTTATAGAAACCCCGTATCTCCAGATGCAGAAAACTTCAGTGTTACCAACTTACAAGTGCTTTGGACGTGCTTTGGCCGGGATTTTTATCTAGGTGCCTTTTGTCATATCTGCAGGGGCTCAGGTATTTTTCTCAGTGAAGTGAAAAACGAAATTCCTG